CTGCTACCACAACTGCAGCAGGCAAGAAAAAAAAAAATAGCATCTACCGCAGGCTTCACATGTACTTTTCTCATGAAAACTGCTACTCATTTCCCAAAACACCATAAGAGAGGACATGTATTTGTTCCTCTCTACTGTTAGCAAAAATTCAGCCATGCGAATAGTACAGTACTGTGAAGCTTGTAACAAGGACTACACAGATCTCCTTACAGGGATGAGCAGTGCCTTCCCTTAGCATTTTTTACAGATTGTTTAGGATTCTTTCCCCGGCAGTTAACACCCAGCCACACAATGTTTCCTTCCTCTAGCACAGGTGCTTTTGGAAAGTCTTATGCTTTTCTTGCCAAGTCCAAGCAGACAGCAGTGACAAATCCTCACCCACCTCTACCTGCCATATGCCTCCATCACTGCCTTTGTGAGAGAATAGCCCATCTCACAGGCAGTTGCCCTGGAACAGAGCCACAGCACTACTGCAGGCACACACACATGCAAGAAAATTTCTCAGGAGCCTAAAGGTTTCTCTACAGAAAGCTTGGCTGCCTCTTCAAGAGCCAAAGACAGGTTTGATGCTTTGCAAGCAGCAACTGGTGGGCCAGGCTCTTCACACACACTGGCACCAAGCTCAAAGAGAGACAAACCCATGTCTCTGAGCTCTGCATTCTCCCTTCATTACTGCAAGGAGTTACAGGCCAGATACCATGCTTGTGAGCTGTGTATCACAGCGGGCAGTGAAGGATGACAAGTCCACACACAGGTACACCTGATGCTGGTGGCAGAGAACATTATAGTGAAGTAGAGATCCATTTACACCAGCATCACCTGCAACATACCATTTCTCTCTGATGTCCTTGTCAGCATCTGTTTCTAACCTAAACCCTACAGGCTCTTGTTCAGGTCCCACAGAGTCTATTTCCAAGGGGCAAAGAGAAAACAAAATTCCTCCAAAGCTTGAGGGATTCATTGTTTCACTCAGCTCTATAAGGAGCGGGCAGAACAATACTGGGAATTCAGAAGCATGGCCACACACAAGGTTAACCACATTCTTAGATTACACTGTAGGCTAGGAAAATAGTTATCCTGCCCCACTTAGATTTAAACATCTCCATGTAAGCCAATACAGAGCATAGCATTAGACTACAGAACAGTCAAGACTTCAGTCCTTCTTGAGTGGAGGGTATAGTTTTCCAGTGCCTTAAACAAAAAAGATGTTTAGCACATTACCCTTACCGGTCCCAAATTACTTTACAGAAGAGCCTGATCACTTTGTAAGCTTACTTTCAGATGTAGAATACTAGAACAGTCCACCTAAGGTACCTTACACTAACTTGGAGTAAACAATTCATGTAAAGCCACTTATTCCTGCATGGGGCCGGGTGCTGGACTCAATGACTCTTATGGAACCCTTCCAACTGAGGATGTGCTATGATTTTATACACTTTAGACCAACAGTTCAAATTGTTGGAACACAGAGTCCTGAGGAGCCCAACCAGGTGGTTATTAGAAAGCAGGGCCTTTCCAGCAGCAAGGTCCACCATCAGTCTATCAAAAATAATTTTAGAGTGGAAGGATTAAGTGTCACATTTCCAAGAAGCAGAAACCTGCTTCCAAGAAACATTGGATGTTTTCCAGAAAACAGCCTCCAGGGAAGTCACAGGTAAGTGGCAGACAAAATGCAAGTGTGTTTTGACTACCTTCTTATGATGTGTTAATAGCAACCAGAGAGAGACAGAGAGAGACCCAAAGTGTATACAGGCTGAAAATACATTTTCCTTTTTTCAGCTGTCAAGCACCTAGCTCTGAGTATTACAGGATAATACATTCAACAAGTTTTAGAAGAAATCTAGGAATTCACAACTGGTTTTGTCATCCTGTAGTTCACCAACAACCAAAGGCAAACATTAAAGCCAAATGCTCAATTGCAGCTAACATTAGATCCCAGTGACACGGGAGCAGGCAGCAGCACTGTCACACAACCCCCGCAACCTCTCCCCCCCGTTTTCTCGGGTTACTGCCCAGCATCCTGCAGCTGGAAGGCAAGTCAGATCAGCTCACTTACCTGATGAAAGCGCAACCCAGAGAAGAGAAACCACATGTTTTTTGGTTTGATCAATCAGAGTGCTGCAGTCTAGGATTACCACCTCTACGTTGTACCAAAAACAAGCAGCTGCTCAGCACCCACCCTGCTGCTGCAGGAGACACCACGCTGCAGGCGAGCACTGGGTGAGAGCAGAGCAGGTGACAGAAACTGCCTGCCAGGCTCCAGACCTTGAAAACCTCTGCTCCTAAGCTAAAATCAGTTGACTCCTACCACCTGATAACAGGGTTTCTGGGAGCAAGCTTGGGGCCAAACTAAACCTTAACCTCCTCCCGGCAATTTTCTGCGTGTGGCTTCTACCAAGGCACAGTGTGGTTCCCATACAAAGTAATCTCCAGAGCCGATCAGCTCCTTAGGCCAAGAGCAAAGCCCTTGTGCGCTGCATTCCTGGCATCCTACTCCACAATGCGCCTGCACACCACTCAGCACCCAGGAATCTGCAATTATCCTCAGCCTGGCAGAGAAAAAAAGCCAGACTTAGCGCTTGTTAACACTTCAGTGCTACCCTGCACAAAGCCGAAGACTCCTCATGTTCAGATCACCTGCCCTAACAAGTTTAAGGCCTTCCATCCCACTGTCACTGGATAGCACAGCACAGAGCATTGCTTTACAGTTTTTTTTTTTTTTTTTTTTTTTTTTTTAAACTACAGATCACACAGACAAGTCACAGATCTGCACTGTAGCGAGGGCACCTTGTGCCTTAAGGAGAAGCATCTCAGAACTGCCTGTGGACTTGGCTAAACAAGGGGTAGGAGAGGCTGAACCTAACTCCTGCTCCAAACTGAATTAAAAGCTGTGGTCAAACATAAGTTCGATTGGTTCCTTCGAATATAATCAGATCAATAAGACAAAGTTGGAATACCAAACTTCTTCAGTAGCAAGGTTTCAGAGGTGTGGGTTGTAGTACAGCAGCAGTAGCTAAGTCATACCGCATGGCTTCCAAAGCATTCCTGGAAGTTAAATAATAACTGGAACATGCACTGCATCCATTTAGCAAAGATTTGATGGCATTATTAATGCTAGAAATCCAGCAGCTGCAGCCGTCTGGACTCCCCAGCTGATTTGGCTCAGAGCTGGCCCTAAACACCCCAAGCCCCAAAGGCCAACCTGGTCATAAAAGTTCTTCACCTAAAAGCCCTTATTTGTACATAGCTCCAGACCCCAGCATGAGCTCATGTTTGCTCAGCAGCACAAAAGAGACTGAAAACCAAAGATGAAGTCCCAAGTTCCGTAGCATGCACAGCCACAGGGAGACAAGCACTTCAGGCAAGCAGCACTTTGCAGCTTGCAGAAGAGGCAGCGTGGGCTTCAGCTCATCGAGAAGAATGCCACAGGGTTTGTTTGGAATGTCATTTCTGGAAAGCCAGGATGTTTTTTCAGGAGCAGCACAGTTTATCCAGGGCCATATGCACAGTCAGAGCCTGCCCCACCACCTGGCTCCTGCTCCACCCACACAGAATGGATGGGCTGCAAACCCCTTCATGCAGAGCCACAGTCACCTCATTCTCCAAAGCTCCAGCTACGAGCTGGTTTTTTAAGAAGCAATATAGCGTAAATAATCTACAAAACAGCTAAATGCCTTCAGTGGTTACAGACACCTCACAGCTAAACCTTATGTGGCAGTGCAGTGCTGCTACAGCAGCGCCTTACGGAAGGAAGCCATGCAGAGCCAGACCCAACGGAGCAACCTTGATCTCTGGAGTCTGTCAGGAAGCCTTGCAGAGGAATAGGAAAGCAGCTGGAGCAGCTACACTTTCCTAGGGCAAACAATGCAGCAGGAGGGAAGAGCTCAGCCAAGGAGCTGGGCAGCTGCAGGTCAAGGGCACACGTGTAGCAAGTCACTAGCACCAGCCCTGCTCCCAGTGCATCAACTGCTGTCCCTCTGAGGGCTGCTGCAGGGCACCCAAATGGCCCCAGTGTAAGGAGCTGCCAAGCGTCCACCTCCTGCACCAGGCATGGGCTTCCAGAAGGGTTCCCATCCCAGACAAGTCCACGTTTTCTTACCAATGTTACTAAAGCCTCTCAAGTGAAACAGCTTTCACCTTGGCCAAGAGTTTCAGGGACACGAGCAGAGCTGAACTCACCCAAACTCAGCTGTGTAACTCATTGAGGCCAGACTCATCAGCAGCCAGCAGTTAGAGTTATCTGGCAGAGAGAACTACAAGGCACTCACATTCCTTCCCACAGGCCTCTCAGGCATTCAGATTATGGCTGTACAGAGCATGCTGTGGCCACACCTGAGCCACCCCGATCAGCCACCGCACATTCCTGAGGGACACTGCATTCAGGCAGCCTCCATGCCCCCAGAAGAGACTGCAGTTCCGCAGGGGTTCACGCTGTGGCATGGTACAGACAGAGGGACCCAGCGCCACAAGCACCAACCACCCACCCCGGGAGCCAGCAGAGCTCCGGTAATGTTTGTTACCCACAACCTACGTAGCACGGGGATTAAGCACAGCCCCGCCGGAAAGCGGCACATGGACAATCTGCACCAGTCTGAGCACTGGCATCATCTGCTGGGCTCCAGCGAGCAACAAAAGCCACTCCGTTCCTCCAACTTCTACAGCAGCACAGTGCTGCGCTAGAACCTGACCGCAGATGGGCTGGGGGGCGTGGTGTCCCTGCGAGGCACCTGGGGGTCATTAGGGAAAGCCGCACAGAAGGAACACGCCGCGGCTCCTCGGGAGTGCAAGCTACAGAAAGCACGGACTCGTCTCATGAGAAACAGTACAGTTTAGAATACAGCAGGAGGGCGATGCTGCGGCCCTGGCAGCGGGACAGCACCGCACGGCTCTGCAGCAGCTCCGCACAGCGCCCGTGTGCACGGCCCGAGGGGCAAAGGTCCGGCGCAAGGAGAACAAATTAAAGGAAAAGCAACGAGCGGAGCGAGCTGGGAGGCACTCACCGATGGAGACCAGCTTGATGCTCTCCCGCTCCAGGAACTCGAGGGCGACGGAGACGTTCTCCAGCTGCATCTGGCGGAAGGTGGGCCGCTGGTGGTACTTGCGGTACATGCGCTTCTGGCTGAGCACCTCGAGCAGCGCGATCAGCCGCAGCCCGTCGCTGAGGTCGTGCTGCAGGTTGCCGATGCGCTTGTTGACGCAGCGCAGGTGCTCGTTGCACCAACGGGTGAAGGTGTTCTGCTGGATTCGCTTCCAGGGCGCATCCTCCGCCAGGTCCTTCTCGGTGGCCGGCATCTCACCGTCGGGATCGGCCGCTCTGCGCCCGCTCTGGCCCCGCGCCTGCGTGCTCATGGCGCTGCCCCGCTCCGCCCCCGCCGCCGCCGCCGCTCCGCCCCGGTCCCGCCCGGCTGCGCGCCGCCCGCCGCCTGCGGGCAGAGAGAGGGAGAGCGGGGAGAGCGCGGCGCTCAGCGGCCGCCTCGCGCCTTTCGGTGCCGCCGCCCCGCTGCTCTGCCCTGCCCCAAATGTGTCGCGCTGCGCTGTGTTGCGCTGCTCCGCTCTCTGCCGCCGCCCGCCCGGCACTGCGCGGGCCCCGCGCCGCCGCCCGGCCTTTATCCGGCGGGAGCGGCACGCCCTCGGCTGCATCACCCCCCGCGCCCCGCCGGGCCGGGCGGAGGGGCTGTGCGCGGCTGGGATGGGCCGGGCCGGGCCGGGCTGCGGCGTGGCGGGGCTTCGGGGGGCCGTACCTGGTGTGCGCGGGGAGTCCGGAATAACCCCGGGGCGGTAACGCGGGGCCGGGATGCAGCCCCCCAGGCACTGCTGCGTGGCCGGGCGGTGCAGCCCTCACGATAGTGAGGCAGAGCCAGGGGTGCGGCCCCGTGTCACTGAACGGATGGCCGGGGGCGCAGTCCCTGTGGCGCTAATGGAGGCCCGGGGGTGCGGGCCCTACGGCGCTAACGCGCAGCCAGGGGCGCAGCCCCCATAGCGGTAACGCATGGCCATGTGCGCAGCCCCCGTGGCGGTGATGCACAGCCGGGGTACGGCCCCAAGGTACTGAGGGATGGCCGGGGCGCGGCCCCGTGGCACCGCTGCGTTCCTGGGGGTGCAGCCCCTACGGCTCGGGGCACGCACACGGCACCCCGCAGCACGGCCACCAGTGCCCCGTGGTGTCCAGGCGTTTCCCGCAGCGCGGTGCCCCTCACACGGCGGACCCTTCGTGAGGATGCCGGCGGGAGCAGCGCTCAGCGCTGCGGGGTTTCGGGGGGCCGGTCGCAGCGGTGCGGAGCCGTGCTGGCGCAGGGCGGGCACGCCGAGGAGCAGCACGCCCCGCGCTGACTAACGCGCTCTTATCAACCGCTCAAACAAAATGTAAACTTCAAAAAGCAACCAAGTAAGGCTCGAATTCTCGGGGGTTTCTCTTTTTTTTTTTTTCCATTTTTGTGACTGATTTCCTGGCTTGCCCCTCCCTGCCGACATACAGACTGGGACTTGCCGCTGACTCATTGATGACAGCAAAAAGTCAACAGAACCATCCCATCTGCGTGCTTCGCGCTGACTCCGCAGGAGCTGCCGGGACGTCCCGTGACCCCGAGCCGCTCGGTGCTGCCATCAGGGAGGTGTCCCCGCGTGTCCCACGGCCCCGTGCCCACCCCTCACACTTACGGCTGCTCCTGGCACAGCTCTGCCGGCTCCGAGCGCGGTGTCTGCGTGTCCCCGCTCACACTCCGAGGGATGGGAGCCTGCCAGAGGAGCAAACCCATTAACATGCAATCAATAAATCTAATTAAATTAAATGACCGTAGCCACCCTCCACTAAAATTAGAAGACACGTTTCCAATTATTCTACCCGAGAGTTCTGTTCTAATGTCTTTGTTACCCTGCAGCACTGTGGTTTCGCTGTGCAGACTCTAAGCTCTACTTGATAGATCTGATCATGATACGTAGGGAAGGAATGAAGATGAAGGCTGGGTGAAGTGGGAGGCACACCTGAGCTCCCGTCGCTCCCAGCCAACGGGCTGCACCGCCTCCTGCTCTAGGAACATCTCAGAACCAGAGACCCGATGTACTGCACCGAGGCACATCCCATGGCAGCACAGTGCTGGTCCAACCCAGCTGGTGCAGGCTGGGAGCGGTGGTGAGCCTCCTGCAAGGGCTGTTCTCCACTTCGTTTCTTGATAGATGCTAATTGCATATTGACTTTGGCCTGGGCTGGGACTATTAGCAACCACCCCACATCCGGACTAGCAGATTGCTTGTAGCACTTTAATTTTAGCTCCTTTCCCCTCCAGCACCCAGCAATGCACTCTAATGACATTGTGCCCGGGCCTTGCTGCAAGCTGGGTCCTCTGCAGCCCATAGGAGAGGCCAGGTCAGGCTGTTCTGGGGTCACATCTGGCCTGGAAACCAGCTTTAGTTTGAAATTAAACATTTTCACGTAAGTGAACACATGTTTTGAGTTTTATCAGGAGCCAGAGAAGTGAAAACAAGCTACCCTGTGGATCTGTCCTTGCTGGAATACCATCCCAGCACTGTGTATTTTTACAAATGAACTAATATATGCCCTGCAGAATGCGTATTTGTACAGACAAATGTTTGTGTGATGGCACATATGTGCGCAGAAAGAGGGGAGGTGATTTCAAGACCAGGCACTGCAATGAATGCTTTTTTCTTGCCCTGTCTGACAAGGAACTTTCCATCCCGGCTCTTCCTTTGCTCATTAGATGCAGATATAAGGAAGGAAGAACACTGTCATGGCTTGTTCAGCTCTCCGTCAGCGGTTTCAGGAAAGCAGCAGTGCTTTAAAAATATTTTCCTCCCTCTTTAAGATAATTTACTGCAAGAATAGGCTTTAAAAGACCCTATTTGTTCAACAACAGAGGTCCTCCACTGCTCTGTATCTACTGTTCTGCCAGAGGGCTGCTCAGAATATTCTGCAAATGCAGCACTGACAAACAGAAGGAGTTGCAGTGGCACTTTTTGTGTCTTCACTTTTTGCAAAAAGAAATGGCAGACTGTCCCAAAAGAGCATGGCAGCAGGCAGTGGGATTCACAGGAACATCAGTAAAGCTTGAGAGGTGCATAAAATCTGGCCAGCCTTCACAGGGCTGCTGGTGCTCTCGGAGAATCAATGACAGCCCTTTGTGGACATCGAACCTCAGCACTCACTGCTGATCCGCAGTTTCAGTGCCCTGCAGTGTGCCGTGGGACCCACCGTGCTGCTGGAGCACGCTGGCAGCGGATGCAGCAGCTCTGACTGCTGGCTGTGCGTGCAGGACGGGACTTTCTGCACCTCCCTTGCAAAAGCAGAAGGGTGTGGGAGCGGCGGCATGGCTGTGCTGACACAGAGCATGGTGACTAACGGGGTCTGCTCCCCAGCAACCAAGCACATCCTGGCCTTGTGACAATGTGCTGCTGCCTCCTCTGAGATGGAACTCCCCATGAGATATCCTCCATCTCGGACACTGGGCATGTCCCCTGCTCCACGCCTTACTCAGCAACAGCTTACTTTGGTGGTAGGAGGACAAGGGTCAGAATTAACTCCTTCTGAGGCAGCACAACCAGCACAACCCCAGAGCCCCAGTGTGGCCACAGCATCACCCAGCTGCCACAGGGGCTTTGGCCTCCCACCCCAAGCTTCCCAGGCGCACCGTACCTTTCCTCCTCCCCATGCACTATTTGCTGAGTTTCAGAAGACAACAGAATCGTTACTTCTCTCTATTGATGAAGCAGTCATTAGGCCTCTTCTTTCGTTACCTCGAGCTCTACTAAGCAGAGCGAAGCCGAGGCACGTCGTTCAAGTCAAAGCATGAATTCGATGGGTTGCGTCATGGGCTGCATTTCCTTGTTCAGCAGCAAAGTTCTGCGTTATACAAATATTGGTAGGACATCTGATACGACTTGTTCTGAGGTTTTCCAGCTTTTTTTTTTTCCTCCTCCCTTTGTTATCCGGGATTGTGAAGACAGCAATGTGGGAGCACGCAGCAACAGTTCAATCCAAATGGGGCACAGGGATGTCTATCAAAGAGAGATCTCTAGAAATATGCTGGGAAGTGCAAGACTTTACCCTGGAAATCTATCATTTGCCTACTTAGGCAATGGCTGCTTGCAGTAGCAGTTGTGTGTGGGGCACTTTTTCATCTCCCCGTGCCTGGAAGAACATGATTTTTCTTCTGTATGTAGAGGTCTCGCTGCATTATGTATGTATCCAGAAGCTGGAAATGGTGCCAGGAGCAGCCATCCATCTGGCAAACACGGGGCTGTGCCAGAACTCACAGTGCTGCATCCCAGGGAGCCTCGCAGCTGGGATTTAAGGCCGCTTCTGACATGGGCTGGAAGTGGCCCTAAAGCAAGTCTGCTCCTGCTTTTTCCTGTCCTGTGGCAGCTGAAATCAGGGAGGCAGCCGCACTGGGACCCGTCTGACATGTGCTGGACGAGGAGGGATGGGCATTCCTGAGGAGTGTGTCTCCTTCGGGAATTCACCTCATCTCTTACCCCAAACCTGCTCACTCCCGGTCCCTATGGCAGTGCTGCCAAGACCATCCCTTTTTCTGGGTGCATAAGGAGCAGAGGGGAAACTAACTTCTGAAGAAGAGTGTGTTTCATTTGCTTCTACTCTGTGATTGTGGTTTGAAGTGAGAAATGTGCTCCCTGAGCCATGGGTGGGCATCCCTCTCTTTGCAGAGCCTCTGAGGTGCCCACTTCAGCCCCCCAGGCCCCTCCTGGACTCACAGCACAGCGCAGCCCCCTCAGCTCAGCAGCCCTCGACAAGTCAACAAACAATTTCAAATAGTAACTCATTTTTAAAATAGCTCAGGGTCTTATTTCACGGGCTGTGAAGCCACAGCTGATACAAGAAGCACAATGGCCCAGTGTGCATCTAATCGTGGCTTCCTGCCCCTATCAGATTGCTGTAGACGCTGTGGTTACCTCCAGCTTTACCTACTACTCCTGTTTGCATTCAGATTAACCACAGCTCTCTTGCTAAGATGGCATGCATGTTTTTTGGAGTTTGAGCTCTCCTTGTGCTTTCACTCCATCAGTTGGAGTTCCTAAGAAGGGCGGTGTGAAATCAGAACACATCTCACCCCTGCCAGGCCCACAGGTTGCTTTAACCTGGATAGAGATGAATCATAGAATCATTAAGGCTGGAAAGACCACTAAGATCATCTGTTCCAACCTCTGACCCATGCCTGTGACTGCTCTAGACCATGATGAACACTGCCTTTGGCCATTCTCAGCCGGGTGAAGCATAGGGAGGAATGCTTTCCAGGGGAATGTATCTCTAAGCAATCCAAAGCCCTTCTGTGTAGCATAAAGCAGGGGGTCATTCAGTGATCCC